TGGAGCGACTCTATGCAAAGGGAGTTTTATGGCTTGTTGGAAGCGGGGACTTTTACTACGGCGAAGTAGCAATTAGTGGAGAACGCAATTAGCGCTAAGTGGATATTCGATTTGAAGGCAGATGAGTCTGGATGGCCCACTAAGGTTAAGTCGAGACTTGTAGCGAGAAGTGACATGAGTACATTGACTTTGGAGAGTTGTACGCGCCTACCGTTTCTGTTTCATGTGTTAGGATGTTGGCTGCTTTGGCGTGCGAGTTGAACCTCGACTTGTGTCATTTCGATATTGAGCAAGCTTTTGTGCGTTCGGAGTTGGAGGAAGACGTGTACATGCGTTTGCCGCAGGGATGTGCAGCTCCATCTGGAATGATTGTAAAACTAGGCAAGAGTCTGTATGGCTTGAGACAGGCATCTAGGCAGTGGCATGCAATGCTGAAGAGGTGTTTGGTGGCGTTAGGTTTTGAGCAGTGCATGGCCGATGCCTGTGTGTTTCGTTTGATTGAGGATGGATGTGTTGTTTTGATTTTGGTACTACATGAAGATGACATTTTTGCTGTGGGAGAGAGGGAGAGATGTGACAAGCTTGGTGCCGACCTTAACAGGTCCGTGCCAGTGAAGAACCTTGTAGAGTTGAGATGTTATTCTGGGTGCTTTTACGAGAGGAACAAGGAGACCGGTAGGTTGACGATTTCTCAGCAGACTTTCACGGATGAGCTAGCAGCAGAATATTAAGTGGTGGGATGTAAGAGCGTTCCGATGTCTTCGGGGGTGAAGCTTTCTGATTTTGATGCGGATGAGGTGGCGACAGACTTTCCGTTTCGTGAACTAGTCGGGTCTTTAATGTGGCTGGCGACTCAGACTAGACCAGACATTGCGAATGCAGTAAGGGCAGTAGCNGGATCGTTGATGTGGCTGGCGACTCAGACTAGGCCAGACATTGCGAATGCAGTGAGGGCAATAGCTAAGTATTGCGCATCTCCGAAGCTGGTACACTGGAATGCAGCGATGGATATTTTAGGGTATGCGAGGAGGACGAGTCACTTTGGTATTTCGTTCCAGAGAGATACGGTGGAGGGATTCAGCTTGCAGGGGTACGCTGATGCCGACTTTGCAANGGATCGTTGATGTGGCTGGCGACTCAGACTAGGCCAGACATTGCGAATGCAGTGAGGGCAATAGCTAAGTATTGCGCATCTCCGAAGCTGGTACACTGGAATGCAGCGATGGATATTTTAGGGTATGCGAGGAGGACGAGTCACTTTGGTATTTCGTTCCAGAGAGATACGGTGGAGGGATTCAGCTTGCAGGGGTACGCTGATGCCGACTTTGCAAGCAAGGCAGCAGACCGTAGGTCGGTATCAGGGGGGATCGTGACGTGTGGAGGAGGCGCTGTGTCTTGGTTTTCCATAACGCAGAAGTGTGTCACGCTTTCGACCACAGAAGCAGAGTACGTCGCCCTAGGTGACGTAGTGAAGGAGATTTTGTTTTTGAGGCAGATTTGGCGTTTCATGTTGCCGCAGGTCGGCATGCCGTGCATCCCCATCTTCGAGGACAACCAGGGGGCGATTCAATTAGCGCAGAACCCCATCTCAAACTCGAACTCGAAGCACATAGAAGTAAGGCACCATTTTCTCAGGGAACTGGTAGAGAGGAAGGAAATTTCGGTCATCCACGTGCCGTCGCCGTGCCAGCCTGCAGACTTTCCTACGAAGAGTTTGTCGAAGGATGCTTTCGAATCTCACCGTGATTTTGTGATGAATTTGGCATGAACATTTTATTGTTTTTCTGATGGGTTGTGTTTTGGTCTTGTTCTGTTTCCCGTTTTGTTTCATTTCCCGCGCCAAGTATTTGTTAAGCGCGATGCAGCATTCATATTTCATTGAATTGTTTTTCTCTCTTATATTATTCTGGTCAATCAAGTCTTCATGGTATATATTCTGGGAAAGACGTCTTTTGGTTGAGATATCGGGTGTTAGCGAAGTTTTCAGTGAGAAACTGTTGCCAGCAGGGGGGATGTTAGATATACTCGCAGCAGTATCTGGTCGTGAGGATCCCAGGGGGTTACGTGTTGGTAATTTCGTGTGTTGAAGGGTACCACCGGCGCAGTCACGGGGACCCTTTGGGTGCGATGATGAGGCTTGCGTGCGTGCTGCGCACTTCTTCTCCCCTCTCTCTCCACCACCACCACCGTCTCTCTCCAATCAAGTTTCCTCCTCCCACTCTCTCTCCAACTCTCAACCTCTCTCTCTCGGCCTAACACGGCCGACTACCCAGTGCCCCAAAGTAAGGTCCAGAACGTGCATGCTGCACCCCGCGTAGTTTACCTTTCAGACGATATGGCACAGCACAGCAGCAGCAGCAGCAGCAGCAGCAGCATGCAGTTGTTGAAAGACTGACTGAGACACACCCATAGGACTCTTGGATCTATCTGCAGCAGTACAGCAGTAGTCTTTAGACTACTGTATTTTTGTATTTAGTATCGGGATTCCTCTGTGATCCTTGCATATTCGCCGTGCATACTTCACGAATCTTTGTACCTTGCCTGCTGTACGCCCTGTCTCGACTGAGTGATGAGAGTGGTCACGGACCATGCAAACTCTTGGCATGGCTACTGCTGTAGCTTCTAGAGGACGCGGCTGGCGCTTACCGAAAAGAGGCCAGGACCACAGATGCCAGGAACGAACGGGCCGTCTGCCGTCTTGTCCTTGTTGTTTATCATCGTCGATGTCACCAGGGAGGGCTTGAATAACTTGCGGCCTCGCCCTTGTGGAACGTGGAGGCCGAAGAGCCAGCAGAAAAAAGAGAAGTGGGATACAAGCAGGGTGTGGAGTTCGGCGTGAGCATCTGCCATCCGCTCGGCGGAATGGGTGCAGTGAGATGAAGCAGACGAGGAAAATGATCAGCAATGTCTGTCTGAAGGTTGAACGCGTACAACATGGGGATGGGATCCGGGATTCAAGCAAGTCACACTGTTGTGTTTGTTTTCATCATTAGCATCGACCGCGTTAGGGCCGTTTTAAACTGACCGACTTTTTGTCAAAATGTTTGAAAGTGTCAAAAAA